AGCCCGCATCCTCCGCAGCGAGAAAAGCCGCTCCGCGTCTCCCTGGTCTGCTGGGGGGAAGCGCCCCCTGCGCACCGCCAGAGGCGGCGACAGTGGGGGAGGCACCCCGCACTAGCTGCGGCCTCCCCCGTTCGTAACTCGGGGTCCGACTTAAGTCGGACTGACGTAACCCGGGTACTGCCTGTATCTCATTTGAGCTATTTGCCTCTCCACCATTTCTCGGATTTGTTGTTTGAACAGGATCCCAAGTTGCCAAACAGCATAGGCATGTCATGTTCTTCAGGGGTTCCTTGTACTGAACACAGACAACAGTGGAAATCTAGCTACGTGTTTATACTTTGCTCATTACCATGCTATTTGGTGGCATTAAGATGAATAGGTCTCAAACTCATTGGGTCAATATGAAAATCTCTGCACTGCATGGGATCCATGCTAATAACTCCAAGCATCCTTTGTCATTATATATGAAGATAAGAGCCAGAGACTGTGAGCTGAAGAGCAAGGCTGAGTTACAGAGTTCAAACGTGTAAGAGTATTTCTGGTTGAAGTCTGCTTCATTCAAAACATACTATAGCAACTTATATGCCCCAAAGTTTCCAAAATTTCTACTCTATATAGATTTATGAATCAAACTCATCACTGCAGTAATGGAAAGACCTAAAATATATTAGCTGGAGAAAGAAGAAAAGAGAAAGAAATTAGTTTTGTTCTAGATTTTTTAAACCCAGTTAATTAAATGCATTTTGTAATTAGGACTCAGACTACAATATGTAAGTGCCATAATTATCAGTGAAAATATGTCGTACACAAACCAAAATTCTTACCTTGCAAGACCAATACCAAAGCCTGCAAATCTATTCAACTGCTCTGAAAGAAACACAAATAGTAGATTATGTTGCACGGATAAAGCAAAACAGCAAGGAATGATGATCTACCCTTCTAAAAAATTAATGAACGAATGAATAAATCCGGCCCCTGGAGCTTATTGCCTCCCCTTCCACCATGCCACTGGAAGCCAGCCCCTGGTGCCTCATTCCCCCAATTCTCCTGGACAGCCTACAGGGGGTAACTGGAGGCTGGGGCCACTCTCTGAAGTCCTCCCTACTGATAACTCAATTAATTTTGGGGTTTTTTTTGGAAAATAAAATGAGTGGCCTGCAGGTTAAGGACCAGAACAATGCCAGGTAAATCTGTAAAATAAAACTAAATACGTCAGCTAAGCCTAATACAGTAAAACTCCATTAATCTGGCATCCAATGCTCCAGGACTCCTGATGGTCCGGCACCATCGGGAACCCGGAACTACGGGGGCAGCCAGACAGGCTTCCTCCATTCAGCTGCTGCTGAAACTGACCAGCAGCTGAATCGGGGAAGAACAATGCCAGGTAAATCTGTAAAATAAAACTAAATACGTCAGCTAAGCCTAATACAGTAAAACTCCATTAATCTGGCATCCAATGCTCCAGGACTCCTGATGGTCCGGCACCATCGGGAACCCGGAACTACGGGGGCAGCCAGACAGGCTTCCTCCATTCAGCTGCTGCTGAAACTGACCAGCAGCTGAATCGGGGAAACCGGGAGCAGAGCAGCTGGGGGGCCGCCGGGGTGGGCTCGGAGCGC